TCATGACCCCCGGGGGTAGGGCGGGGCCACAATAGGGAATCCAAGTTTTACATAGAAATATATAGAACAAATCTTTAAAAATCTTCTTCTCAAGAACCACTGGGCCAGGAAAGCTGAAACTTATGTGTGAGCATCCTTGGGTAGTGTAAATATTAAATTGTTAAAATCATGACCCCCGGGGGTAGGGCGGGGCCACAATAGGGAATCCAAGTTTTACATAGAAATATATAGAACAAATCTTTAAAAATCTTCTTCTCAAGAACCATTGGGCCAGGAGAGCTGAAACATATGTGGGAGCATCCTTTGGTAGTGTAAATATTAAATTGTAAAAATCATGACCCCCGGGGGTAGGGCGGGGCCACAATAGGGAATCCAAGTTTTACATAGAAATATATAGAACAAATCTTTAAAAATCTTCTTCTCAAGAACCACTGGGCCAGGAAAGCTGAAACTTATGTGGGAGCATCCTTGGGTAGTGTAGATATTAAATTGTAAAAATCATGACCCCCAGGGGTAGGGCGGGGCCACAATAGGGAATCCAAGTTTTACATAGAAATATATAGAACAAATCTTTAAAATCTTCTTCTCAAGAACCACTGGGCCAAGAGAGCTGAAACTTATGTGGGAGCATCCTTGGGTAGTTTAATATTAAATTGTAAAAATCATGACCCCCGGGGGTAGGGCGGGGCCACAATAGGGAATCCAAGTTTTACATAGAAATATATAGAACAAATCTTTAAAAATCTTCTTCTCAAGAACCACTGGGTCAGGAGAGCTGAAACATATGTGGGAGCATCCTTTGGTAGTGTAAATATTAAATTGTTAAAATCATGACCCCGGGGGTAGGGCGGGGCCACAATAGGGTTTTACATAAAAATATATAGAACAAATCTTTAAAAATCTTCTTTTCAAGAACCACTGGGCCAGGAAAGCTGAAACTTATGTGGAAGCATCCTTGGGTAGTGTAGATATTAAATTGTAAAAATCATGACCCCCGGGGGTAGGGCGGGGCCACAATAGGGAATCCAAATTTTACATAGAAATATATAGAACAAATCTTTAAAAATCTTCTTCTCAAGAAACACTTGGCCAGGAAAGCTGAAACATATGTGGGAGCATCCTTGGGTAGTGTAGATATTAAATTGCTAAAATCATGACCCTCGGGCGTAGGGCGGGGCCACAATGGGGAATCCAAGTTTTACATAAAAATATATATAGAACAAATCTTTTAAAAAGATCTGCATCACCCAAGTTATTCAGGTGAGCGATGTGGCCCATGGGCCTCTTGTTGTCCGTTGTCGTCCGTCGTCCGTCGTGCGTTGTGCGTCGTGCGTTAACATTTAAACATTTTCAGCTTCTTCTCTGAGACCACTGAACCAATTTCAACCAAATTTGGCATATAGCATCTATGGGTGAAGGGGAACAAAAATTGTGAATTTCATGGTCCCCGCCCCCCTGGGGCCTGGGGGATGGGGCAAAAACCACTAAAAATAGTGCAATCTTTAAAAAACTTCTTCTTTACTCCCCGACATCAAGCAGTCAAACTGTTGGTATGATTGTAATCAGCATTGAGTCCTCTACCAAAATTGTGAAATTCATGGCCCCAGGGTCAGGGGTTCTGGTGTTAGGGCGGGGCTCTATTGATTATATAGTGAAAATGCAGTAAGTCTGTAAAAATCTTCTTCTCTGCTCTCTGGGTATTAAATAAACAAATTAAGTTCATAGTTATGATGAGCAAGAGTGCCTCTACCAAAATTGTGAAATTCATGGCCCCAGGGTCAGGGGTTCTGGGGTCAGGGCGAGGCTCTATATTGATTATATAATGAAAATGCATTAAATCTGTGAAAATCTTCTTCTCTGCTCCTAGGTATTAAATAAACTAATTCAGTAAATAATTATGATGAATGAGCGAGAGTGCCTCTACCAAAATTGTGAAATTCATGGCCCCAGGGTCAGGGGTTCTGGTGTTAGGGCGGGGCTCTATATTGATTATATAATGAAAATGCATTAAATCTTTGAAAATCTTCTTCTCTGCTCCTAGGTATTAAATAAACTAATTCAGTAAATAATTATGATGAATGAGCGAGAGTGCCTCTACCAAAATTGTGAAATTCATGGCCCCAGGGTCAGGGGTTCTGGTGTTAGGGCGGGGCTCTATATTGATTATATAATGAAAATGCATTAAATCTTTGAAAATCTTCTTCTCTGCTCCTAGGTATTAAATAAACTAATTCAGTAAATAATTATGATGAATGAGCAAGAGTGCCTCTACCAAAATTGTGAAATTCATGGCCCCAGGGTCAGGGGTTCTGGTGTTAGGGCGGGGCTCTATATTGATTATACATGTATAATGAAAATGCATTAAATCTTTGAAAATCTTCTTCTCTTCTCCTAGGTATTAAATACACTAATTCAGTAAATAATTATGATGAGCAAGAGTGCCTCTCCAAAATTGTGAAATTCATGGCCCCAGGGTCAGGGGTTCTGGTGTTAGGGCGGGGCTCTATATTGATTATATAATAAAAATGCATTAAATCTTTGAAAATCTTCTCTGCTCCTAGGTTTTAAATAAACTAACTAAGACATAGTTATAATGAGAAGAGTGCCTCTACAAAAATTGTGAATTTTAT